TGGCAAGCGAGAATGTCAAGATTTAGTTCTGCCAGGTGAAACCAACCGCATTAGCAAGCAGAGTTTTGCCTCAGAAAATCACAGACAAGCCATCGTTGCTTTTGCCGGCCATTGTAGACGAGGAAGAGCAGAAGAAGTTGCAGAATGAGGTGATTGATGAAGCAGCCTCAGATCCGCCGCGTGAAGAAGAAGACAATGATTGGGAAAAATATTGGAGCAAGAAACAGATCCAGTTGCCTGTCGTCCGCTTCGGATAACGGTTTATCTCTGAGTCATGCGTTAGAGAAAAACAATGGTTTTTGTCACTTGAGCCATTAGGAAAACTTGACTTTGTAGTCTTGGGAAAAATTTCCACTTGTGTATTTTCACGTCGCCTTGCGCGTGCCAGAGCTAGAATGGTTCCATGTCACCTTGAGTTGCGAATGCTTGGCGCTTTATATGCACATGCAGCTGTGACCTGAGCCGGAAATTTTTCTGTAGCTTGGGGTAGCTTGCCAGTTCCCAGTCGTGTGCTGCCTGTCACACACTGGACGTGCGTAGTGAGCTCTCATTCATTTGGGCCGCGTAAGCTCCCTAGGCTGTGTATTGAGGCTCCGGAACCCCTGTTCTAGTAAGGCTAGGACCTTGCATGGACGGAGCCGCTGTTCTTGCGCAGCTCGCAGCTGTTCAGGAGCGCCTGGCAGAGCAGGAGCACCAAAACAATTGGTACTCCTTTCACATTGAGCGCCTAGAGGCTTTGTGGCGTGATCTGCAGGCGCAGCAATCTAGCTTGGCCAGGCAAATCCAGACCATTCGTCGCTCCATCCTGCGCATTCTTGCCATTGTGCGCCAGCAGCGCATCTTTCTGCGCCGCATTAGCCATCGAGTGGGCGTCCTGGAGGAGTGCCTTGCGGTTGCATATGCGCATACTGCAGATCAAGCAGACATCGTAGCTGACCTCGAAAACGCAGTCAGCTCCCTGCGTGCCTTCCGGGCCCGTGCCCTTCAGGAGTTGGACTAGCTTTGCTTGATCCGTGTCAACACCATGCGCCCTGCCCCTGTGCCACGTTCTGCCTGAATCTTCGGATAATAGTGGGGTTTCGGTTTCTGATTCAGGTGCTGCTGATTCCGGGGGCTCTGAGTTTGTGGTCGCTGGGTCCCCTGTACCTGCTGCCGGTGATGATAAGGGTGACAATTTTGATCCTAGCGCGTTGGCCATTGACTTGCTTCAGGAAGTTGCCCTTCAGGTGGAGCGTCAGTCTGAGCCCAGCATGCGATTACAGCCCCAGCATCAAGCCTTGGGCTGCCCTAAAAGCGTCAGCTCTTTTGCGCGCGCTAGCTGTGCCCAGAGGGAGCATGAACCGTCAGTGACTGGGGATCGTGCCTCTCGTGGTCAGCCATCTGATGGCTCAGGTGCGTGTGGGTTCTTGAGCAGGCTGGCTGCACCTTCGGACTCCAGTCTGAGGGTTAATCTTGGCTTGGCCTTTGGCGATGCTTTTGGCAGGATTTCTGATGGGGGCACATCTGATCTAGTTATGCCTTGGGAGACCCCGCTCATGAGGGCTATCTTCAGTGATGACCCGGGCGCCTGTGTTTCTCTCAGCAGCAAGCCTCCCACCATGGTTGGGAGTGTGCCGGCCTTGCCATTGCCCTCGCAGCAAACCGGATCAGGGCGATCCCGCAGGGAGGTAGAATGGGTTGATCTTTCACTTGCCGCTCAAACCGTGCAGCCGCTCAAGGATGAGGATGTTCTTCGTAAGCAACAACGCATGATTGAACAAGGTGTCGCCAAGTGGCGGTTGATTTATGGTAGGTACGCAAGAAATTTGTCCGAGGCCGCGCCTGATGAGGACAGCATACTGGCATCCTTAGGCACTCGTTCGCCTCACACCATCCTCAAGCGCGCAAATGCTGTTCTTGCGTATCTTCGGTGGTTTGATGTTTTTGTGGAGGCAGGCGCTTCAGCCTTTGGAGAGGAGGCGTATTGGAAGTACGTCAAGTTCATGAAACGGTCAGGCAGTGCTGCTTCTTGTGGAACTTCATTCCTTTCAGGCATCCGATTTGCCAAGCACGTGGTAGGCATGGAAGAGCTTGATGACCCCTCGCGTAGGTGTGAGGGGGGGTGTGGACAGCTTGCATCTGAAGCCGCAATTGTCAAGCAGGCTGAGGCACTCTCTGTGGGGCAGCTCAGGAGGTTCCATGATCTTCTTCATAGGGAGGGGGCTGATGCATGGGCCGTGCCTTCAGCGCTTATTGCCTTGTGTGTGCATATGGGCGGGGCCAGGGCCAGTGCCAGGGCCAATGCCAGGGCCAACGCCAGGTCACGAAGAGGCCATGGCCATGGCCGGGTGCTTCTTGACCAATTGGCTGTGACGAAGCTGGGCCAGAGGCCGGCTAGGTGGCGGGCCCGGAATATTGGCTTCCTCAACAAACGGCGCACCTCCTCTCTGCCGTCCTCAGCGAACCACTGCACCAGCCAATCGCCGCTGGTAAAGCCAAGGTAGTTGTGGCTGTCCCTTGCCTCCACGATCCACGACTGGCATTCCGCAAGTACCTGTGACCTTACTACCAAGGCGGCGATGCCCATTCGGAAAGTGAGGGTACTCCTCACCAAAGCGTGCGCCCAGGCCAGGTAGGTGGCGGCTGCGCCGACGAGGAAGCCCCGGAAACTGCTGCCTGGCCAGCGCCGAAGCCATCGCCGGCGTCAGCTGCAGAATGGCCAGCACATGGTCCGGTTTTTGGAGCGAAAGTCAGAGGTGGATTGGCGGCGTCGAAGCCAGAGCCAATGTCCACGCTCTCCACCCAATGCACAAGCCATTTTGGGCGGCGTCCCAGTTGCCGGTGCCTTCCCACTGCTCCGCCATTTCTATCAGTGGACGTCGTGTATGGCCCAATGCCAAAGCCATGACTCAGCACTCCACTAAGTGATGATGGCTTTTAACTGCGCCTGAATGAGCCACGACTTGAGCTGTGCCCATTCCTGGGTCGTCAGCATGTCCGAGGACATAGCCAAAGCGGGCTGAAGCTAAGGTCAAAGAAATGGGCCAGGGGGTACCCGCTGGCGTGGCTAAAGCGCTGAAAAGCCAAAGAAGCTCTGGCACAAGCAAGCTGACTAAGCTCTGAATGCTGCTCGGCGTGTAGCATGACCAAGCTCCTCCTCATGGCGGAAAGCTTCTACAGGCATCGTTGAGACCATACGATGCACTATATGTACGAACAGCGGGGCGAACTCTTGATCGTTCTCTTGTTCCATGTCGACGAATTTCCGGTGTCTTTTCGTGAGTTTAGTGAGCTCCTGACACTGTTCGCCGGAGGCAAACAGCGCTATCTCGATTAAGGGATCTTGATTACGGGAGCTTCCCTTAAAGGCCAGGAGGTCATTCTGGTGAAGCACAGCGGGGAGTACCGCGTGGAGGTGACCTAGATGGCGTCCATCAATGAGTTGCAGGGAGGCGAGCTGAACCGTGGCGGTTTGGATGCAGCCGAAGACGCAAAAGAATACTGGAGTTGCGCCAGCAGTCTACAGTGGCTGGCGTGACAAACCGCCCCGACGTGGCCACAACTGTCTCAGCAATCTTGGATTGAATACTGGCCCAGCCCAGCTCAGGCATTGTACGGTGCATCGACTACTTCAAGGACAGCTCAGAGACTGATTGGTGTTGCAAAGGAGTGGTGCTCAGATTTGCTACGGTTGTCGGCTACTCAGACTACAGCCGGGCAGATCTTCACCGCAGAAAAAGCCAAATGGGAATCTTCGTGGTGTTTTGCCGACCCTGAATACCAGGACAGACCAGCCACTTTAATCGATTGGCAAAATTGTAGGAGTCGAGACATGGGTGAGGGAGTGGATGAAGCAACGTTGGCAATCTTTTGTCGCAGTCAGTAAAAGGCACAGGTGCACTCAAGCAGTTCCAAGCAAGTTGGAGCTTTGAAGCACTTCCACCTACAGACTGCAAGAATTTGTTCGATGCAGTCGTGAGCGATACTCCCGGTTGTGACAAGAAGCAAAGTTAAAGTTGATCTGAGTGAGATGGATCCAGGACTGTTTGAATGCTGGTCAATGCACTGGGTGCGGATGTGCTGAGAAAGGTGTCGGCAAATTTTAGAAGCAATTTCATTTTGTGGTTCCGAACGAGCTTCGTATGTGCAGTTAAGGGACAATAATCATCAAACAACAATGTATTGTGTGAGTTTGTATCCGCAAACCTTGTTGTCCCTGTAAACACGCAATTTCAGGCGGCTTCAGGCTTGCAACTTTGCTGGCAGGTGCAGCACTTTGAGGCATTTTTCATTCGAGAGCCTCCAAAAGTATTGGTGCACGCAGCATTTCGCGCATGTGCTTGTTTTACGGGTTTGCGCCCGCAGACCTCTGGGCCTGAAAGCAGCTCTTGCCGTGGAGTCCGAAGGTTGGTCGACTCATTGGGTGGAGACAGTCCCGCATACAGTGACCAGAGCATCCATGCTCAAACCATAATAACGTTCGTGTTCCCAGAGAATATGGTGAGTACGATTACGAGAGCATCCATGCCCAAACCAGAATAGCGTTCGTGTTCGAGAGCATCCATGCCCAAACATAAATAACGTTCGTGTTCCAAGGGCATAGGGTGACGAGAACCATTATAACGTTCGTGTTCCAAAGGCATACGGTGACCAGAGCATCCTTGCCCAAACCATAATAACTTGAGCATCCATGCCCAAGCCAGCGTCTTAGACGCACTGCGTGCGTACCGTGAGGATCGTGCCGGCAAAGTCGGATGCAACCCCGCGCACTTCGCAGACGTGGTCCAGGACAGTGACTTGCTCTCTGCCATTCTCTGCCTCGAGAACAAATACGACATTTTTCGCTCGGGTTTCCTGCGAAGAATCAAATTCACTGGCAGGGCCACTAAATGCTGCATGTGCGCGCGTGTGTTCGCGCGTGAACATGAACCTGGCGCGTTGTTACAAGTTTACCTTCAACAGGGACAGGTGCTGTCTTTGGTGAAGGTTGTAGGAGTTTTTCGAAGCATGCTTGTTTCCAGGAAGGTCAGCACATGTGCTGACACCACGTGCAACGAGTGGATCTCAGAGGAGATGCTGGCAACAGCGCTCCAGGACGACATAAATAAGAGCCACACTATTTGGTTGGTTTGCAGCCAGCATTGCCATCCCATCACATAACGCTCGGTTGCTGAATCGTGTTGGTCCACGCATGCGTGCCCATGTTTGGTATGAGGTTGTAGATTATTGGGGATGTCACCATTCTGAGCGATCGGAGCAGTTCTTTCCATGGGAAGCATTCTGCCAGGATGCAGCGCAGCTTGGCAGCTTTTGCAGTGCTGCTGCGGCGGAGCCTGGGTTTTGGGCGTCTGCGGCGACAACGTCCCTGTGCGCCGAGGCTAGCGCGCGGTGATTCTTTCAGTACCTTGAAGTAATCTGAAATTTTCGAAGTTTGTTGAGGTACTTTTGTCTTTCGCCAAGGCGTTTGAGTCGGAGGCATGGCCCCTAGCGGCATCCTTATACTTTGCACCTGTGTTGAGCGTAGAGGCATCCCAGATACTTGCAGGTCTCTTCACTGTCCGACGCGTTGGTGGCTTTGCATGCGAAGAACCACAGCAACAGTGTCAAGGTCCACGCTTTCAGTGTGAACATGGATCAAGGCATATTGGCGCCTGCAGCCAGCGTGTGGCTGCGCTTCTTACAGGATTTGCCTCAGAATCGGCCTGGCAGTTTGACAATTCTTCTGCAGTGCCGGCGAGCAGTTACAGTTCTGCTGGCTGAAGCCTGGGTTAAGAATTTCATTCGGGAACCACCGCGATGTTCGGCCTCAGAGGCACTGTCCCTCCTGCAAAAAGATGAAGACGCTATCCAGGTGTTGGGGAGGTCTCCGGAACTCGAAAGCTTCCTGCTGGTATTTGCCGCGCTCAGGACCTTGCTACGCCGTGCTGCACAGCATGGGAAAGTAGAGTGGGAAGATCTGACACGCGCAGAAACACAGTTTCAGGAATTGCTAGGTGAGGACACTGGGAGGAGTTTGGCTCAGGCACTTTGGCAAGCGGTAAATCGCTGATGTGCGAAGCACAGCCGATTCTGCAGGCTAGATCTAGATATGATATTTGGAACTGCGAAGCTCCCAAAAGGCGAGTGATGCGAGGCTTGTACAGAATTGAGCTGTTCAAAACGGCCCAGTTCCCGATCTCTTGCTAAGGCTAGGTTGGTGGTTCCTGCAAACGCCGTGAAAGAGGGATGAGATGAAAGCCGAAAGAGGGGAAATCTGCAACAGCATGCTATCCACTCTCTCAGCGCATGTAAAGTCGTTCATGCTAGCACGCCATTCTGATAGTTTGCGTGCTCCTCCATGACAAGTGGTTTGTTGCATGTGGCGAAGCCCGAATGCCATTGGGTCCGCAGTGTTTGCAGTTAAGAGTCTGGAATCCTGGTGATGCTGCGCAAGTGAGTCGGAGAGGTCATTGGAGTCCGCATCAGAAGCATCAGCAAGAGCCAGCATGGTGTGAAGTGTGATTCTGTGAAGCCGAAAGGCTGACAGTTCTCAGATTCTCGGTTTTGGCTTGCAGCAGAAGGCTGCAGAGCAATTCGTTGTGACCCTGATCCACTTATTTTCATCAGGGTCACTGTCTTCAAGAGCGCCTTAATTGACCTTGCCTTTACATCCTTTAAATGTCGGGCTCCAGCTGCTTCCACCAAACTGTTTGCAGGGCTGGGTGCTGGAAGGTCCAGCCTTCATGGACCGAGGTGGATCTGATGAGCAGTTCTGTATTGGCCAGGGAAGAGTGCAATCTTCTCGAGAGACTCATGATTCACGCGTTTCAGTATTTGGGACTTGGCAGGATGAGGATCGTTCGACTAGGGCAGGCCTCTACAGAACACGAGCAGAAAAAACGACATGCAGAAAACACAGTCTGTGTCTGCAGCACTCAGGCAGCACAATGCAGTGGAACAGCCGGCAACCAACTCGGATACACATGGGCGCATTGGGTGCCTAGAAGGTGCCATCTTCATGACCGACCCCACTTTCGGCATCTGAATTTGCTCCCACGAAGTCAAGAAAGCCAACAGTCACAGGGGGGCGGACAGTTTGCTGCACGCTCCTTGTGATCACTGTCGATTTTTCGCATTTTGAGCGTCTCCCCAAGAAAACACCGTCTACATCAATCATCCTCTATCATCCCTGTAAATGGCATCCAAGCCTCCAACCACAGCCATAAGGGGGAGGGAGGCGTTAGAAGGAGCCCGTAGCAGGATAATCTTAATTTGTGTAGCGGAGGGCAAAGCCTTCTCAAGTTCAAGGCTGGCAACAGGTTTGGGTAAAGCCTCCACACCAACCTGATTACATAGCATGCATGATGGACTTTGTGGAGTTGCCCGCGCAAGCAAACTTCCTTCACCAATCAGTGGTGGGACATTTATCGAATCACGCTCTCCCCGGTTGCATGTGGCTAGTTTCCTGGCATTGTTTGAGGTTGCAAGTCTGCCGTTGTCTTGGTACGTACAACAGTCGCACTTCTTCCAACTGGCTGAGCATGCGGGGCCCTGACACTCTGCTTTTCGCTAGGCCGGACAGACAGAACCTGCCAAGGCAGACGGTTTGAAAAATCAGAAGTTGGGGCAATCCCAAGCATGTCTGCTGCACAAGCTGAAGAGTGGACGGTTGTGAATCCAGCCGCATTTTGCTTAGCCAGTGCTGACTCCCAACCATCTATTTAGGGGATGTAGGCCCTTCTGGACACCGAAAATTCTGTTTTTTTTTTTTTAGCGATTGAAGATTGGAAATTATTGCCTTGGAATCTAGAAGTCGGAGATGAATTCTTGCCGTTGTTTGCAGGAGCAAAGCGGTACGTGTCATCGTATTTTAAGATGCTGTTGCTAGCCATGAAGCGCCAGTAGCAGGCTCATGCGCGCTCTTAGCTGTCTCTGGTACCAGCTACTTCAGGAGCAGCCCAGGCAAAATGCATACGACAAGCAAATGCAAGCATTCCTGGAGTTGATTGTTCTGGTTTTGAATCGCAAGGCCCTACTTCAGCAGTATCTGACTACATGTCTGTTGCCTCATAGAGCGACGCCATGCCCCGCTGCGGCAAAGCTATTGCTAGTAGATGGGTTGCAGCCCTACACAGATGCTCACGGAGACGTATCTTAGAGAGATGACTTGCCTGGCCCTCCTGTGTGATGCTTGTCAGACCAGCTGCGGCAATGCTCAGCAAAATTGGAGAATTAAGGCCACAGTCTTCGGCTTGTTCTGCAGGAGCTTGGCCGGAGACCTGGCGCTGTCTTCCCTTGCACAGCCCAAAAACAAGGATCGTCAAACTTCCTCCCACCGCCCAGGCCGTCTCCAACCATTTGGGTGAGCAGTGCTTGGAGGTGTCCTGGGTTTGCAGTCTTCACGTCAACTGGTGAAGCGCTTCTCTCATCAGATTGATCGTCTTGTATGACAACTCGCAGACTGCAACTCGTGGATAGTGCGCAAAAAGTCTCCTTTCTCAATTCCCCCCCCCCTTCCCCCC